GTTTTTCTCTCTTAATCAGCTTTCCAAGTCTTTCCTCTTGTGGTATATAGCTTTTCTGCCTGACCCACCAACTTTTCAGGCTGCACTCGTAGCTCCCTATATGCAAAAAGAGAGGCACAGCTTGCCACTGGGGGCACTGGAATTGGTGCAGCCATTGCTGCATTCACCCGGGAAGTGTGGGGACCCAGGAAGTACATGCTTTTCTCTGCAACTGTGAACTATGGGAGGAATGATTCTACTTATAGTTGTCTTGGGCACCCAAGTCTTCTGGCTATTGGGTACTGGAGAGTCTACCGCACTATATGCAAAGCCCTTTGGCTCTGTGCCACCAGCAAACATACATTTCCCTGTCTGCTGGAGACTGCAAGTGGATTTGCCTCTTGGTTTCCAGGTGTATTTGACTTCCAGGTTTATCTTCCAAATGCCTTCTACACATGTTTATTGTTGAGGATATGAGAGTGCTAAGATTGTTTAAGTCACCATCTTTAGCTGGAAGTTGAGAAAACAACTTTTTTTGAAGATATAGCAGATTCATTTGATTTATGAGCAAACACAAGAGCCCGCAACATTATGGTTGTTGTTTTTTTTTTAAGCAATAGAGGTAAGCACATTTTTACCTCAAAACCTTAGAACAAATATTGGAAACTAGATGATAACCACAGCCATGGCTTCTGGGATTTTAAAGGTCCTAGAGTTGTCCCTTTGGAATACTGGGACTGTTATATAATTTGCATAGAGGTAAGAGTTGGAACAAGAACTTTCTACTTAGTAATAGTGATTGGAATTACATTTTGATTCTCACAGCTAAGTAACACATCATTTAAGAATAAAAACTGCTTGAAATACGAAAATATTCAGAGGTAGGCTAAGGAGACCAGAGGAAAGTTCTGGGGAAGGAACGGAACTTAATCTATTATGTTGTGTCACCTCAGCTTCGGGTCGTATTGACATTTTAGCATTATTAAGTCTTCTAAGATTTGAACGTGGTAGATCTTTCTAGTTATTTAAGGGTTAAAAAAAAGGTTCATTAATCTCTTTTAGCAGTGTTTCTTTTTTTCCCAAAGCCATCTTATTGGGAGTTAATACAGATACCATTCCATAGTTCAGTCACATCAAACAGTATGATACAATTGCTACCCCAACACAATCTGTTTCAAAGTATTCTTTTCCTTCCTGAACTCCTTGACATCAGCTCCCTTTTATTTCCCCCACTACCACTTAATCATTTCCTCCCCCCCTACACACACACACACACACACACACAAACCCAAACCTTATTCTACATGCTGTCCCATCGATCCTGGGTTTTATATACTGGAGAAGAAAAAAAAAATATATATATATATATATATATCCAAGAGGGTGACCCCAAATGACAATACATCTGAGATGAACCCCAATATGAACAAACCAGAAAATCAAGAAAATGTTGGCTACCAGATCAGGCCTAATGTGCATCAGAGGGGGAATCAACTGACAAGGTTTTAACCGTTCAAGTCAGGTTTATCCTTTTGATCTTATATAGTCATTTCTCCAATGCACTATGTTTAGTAGTATTGTAAATAGAGCTGGTTCCCTAATTTCCCTTTCTGATTTCTCACAGTGGTTATATGGAAGCAATCACTAAGCTGTGCAGAAAATTTGAAAGGCAGCACCTGGACAAATTACTGGCAGACATCCAAATTTATACCCATTCCAAAGAAAGGTGGCCCAACAGAAAGCGCAAATTATAGAACAATATCATTGATAATCAAATGCAAATAAAATTTTGCTGAAGCTCATTCAACAGTAGTTGCAGCAGGACGTGGAAAGGGATCTTCAAGAGATACAGGTCAGATTCAGAAGAGGACATGGCACAAGGGATATCAAAGCAGAGAATACCAGAAAGATGTTGTGGTGAACAGCAATGGAGGTCCATATTTGACTTCCTCTGTCTCCCCTATTGCTATGAGGCAGGGTTTAGACAAGCCTCTGACCTCCATCCTTCATTTCCTGTTCTGACCCCAACCATTTCTCCCACTTGATCCTTGTTGGTTTCAGTAGTTCATTGCAGTGGCCACACTGAACTCAAGACCATACTCACAATTAAGGGGTTTTATTAGCAAAGGTTATAGGTTACCACAAGTCAACATTAGCAAAGCAGTAAGCCTACAGTCATTTGTGCCTTCAAAACCAGCAGCCAAGTCTCTTTTTGATGCTTAGTCTCTCAGCCTCATGGTACCCTGGCCTTTGCCCCCATGAGCCAGGAAGCCAAGCACGTCTGTCCCTCTGTTCCATAGGCTCAGGTCAGATAAGGTTAAGGTACCCCATAGTTTTGGTTCTGAGTCTCCATGACAGTGTCATGTATCTGGTCTTGGCTGCCTTTCCTACTTTAGGCAGAGATCTTGAACGTGCTCTTCTAAAGAATTTGGGGTTTTTCCTCTTTTCTACTGCTTCAGAGATGGCTCTACTAGATAGCCAGGGGAGTGGTAATGAAACCTGGCCAACCCTCTCTTTGTATTATACCTGCCCTATTTTGCATAGTCCCACCCAATCATTTGGTGCAAGTTAACAGATTTGGGTAGGAGAGCCATAATAAGAAATTATACTCCACCATCGATGTTTACTTGTGTTTTATTGACAATACAAAGGCTTTTGACTGTATGCATCGTAGCAAACTATGGATACCTTTGAGAAGAATGGGAATTCCAAAACACTTAATTGTGCTCATGTGAATCTTGTACTAAGATCAAGAAGCCATAGTGTAAACAGAAGGGAATACTACATGGTTTAAGATCAGGAAAGGTGTGCATTAGAATTGTATCCTCTCACTATACTCAGTTGATCTGTATACTGAGTAAGTAATCAGAGAGAGGCTGGACTATATGAAGAATAAAGTGGCATCAGGGTTGAAGAAAGGCTTATTAACAATCTGTGATACATATATGACCCAACCTTACGTGCTGAAATTGATGGGACCTTGAAGCACTTGCTGATGAAGATCTAGAATTACAGCTTTCAGTATGGATTACAACTCAAATATAAAGAAAACCAAAATCCTCATAGCAATGGAAAGTGTCAAGGATTTCATCTTGCTTGAATCCACAGTCAATGCTCATGGAAGCAGCAGTTAAGAGATCAAATAACATGTTGCATTAGGTAAAGCTGCACTAGACCTCTTTAAAGTATTAGAAAGCAAGGATACTACTTTGTTGACCGAGGTGCACCTGACCCAAATCCTTAATATTTTCAATTGACTCATATGCATATGAAAATTGGGCATTGAATCAGGCAGACCAAAGAAGAATCAGTGCAGTTGAACTATGGTGTTGGCAAGAATATTGAAAGTACCATGAACTGTTAAAAAACAAGCATAACTTTCTTGGAAGAAGTATGGCCAGAAAACTCCTTAAAGCAAGGATGATGAGACTTCATCTCACGTACTTTGGACATGTTCTATGGAGAGACCAGTCCCTGGAGACGACATGAGTGGTAAAATAGAGGGACACCTGACAGGATGAATTGCCACAGGGACTGCAACAGCGGGCTCAAACTTAAGAACAATTGTGATGATGACGCAGGATGGAGTTGTTTGTCATTCTGTTATGTGTAAGGTCCCTCTGGGTCTGAACCACCTGATGGCACTTAACAATAATAACAAAATCATTAAGAGAAAGTGTAGCTCATTCTAAAGAAGTCATACAAATAGTTGGAGAATCAGATACACATATTTATTACTTACCAACTGGTTAAGTTCTAAAGGCCCAGTTATTAATGGCATTATATGTAGAAGAGGCAGAGATTGCTCCTGAACCAGGAACCTTGAAAACTGTGCCCCAGCACTACTGTGCTATAGACATCAAGACCCTGTTGGCCCTAGCAGCTAGAATAGAGACCAATTGACAGCTCTGGGTCTCAGCCAATTAGGAATGTGGGGAATCCAGATATTCGTGAGGGTTGTTACCCAGGTCACATGCAGCCATCCTCTCAACAACCTCAGCTGCCTCCTGTTGCCTTACAAGCTAGCAGGCCCCCACAAAGATGAACTGGCTAGCAGTATTTGGAATTTGAGGTCCTGGAAAATACCAACTGCTTGTAAGAGGAAATCTGGAGTCTGGGCCACAAAGGATGGAGGGGGTGGTTGGGTTCTGAAGCCCCCAGGGCTCTTGAATAGAAAAGAGCAGCAACCTCTTCTGCCCCTATCTCATATGCTGCTACTCACGCCTTCTTGAAAGGGCACCTTCAAATCATCTTTAGTCACCTCTTTCCAGTCAAGATCTAAAACTGGTGAGAATGGGATCATAAAAAGGCCTACTAGAGAGCTGGATGTTTTATCTACAGGCCTCACAGACATGGGCAGCTCTGCAGGCTGAGAGCCGGACACAGGGAGCAAAATAGATGCTTTTTTTCCCCTTTGCTGTTGTACTATTATTTACTGTTGTAAATGTGAAATGTCAGAGAACACACCAAAAAACCAAACCCACTGCCACTGAGTTGATGCTGATTTGTAGCAACCCTCTAGAATAGGACAGAACTGCCCCTGTTAGTTTCTGAGACTGTATTTCTTTATGGGTGTAGAAAGCCTTGTCTTTGTCCCACATAGTGGTTGCTGGTTTCGAACTGCAGACCTGGCAGTTAGCAGCCCAACCGACTATCACTGCACCACCAGGGCTCCACATCAGATAACAAGATTGTCTAAATTACTTCATCATTAGGTTGGATATAACCGTGACATTGAGAACTACTAGTGAAGGGCATGAAATATGAATCTGAAAAATACCATTGTTCCACATCTTTCTTTTTACTCTGCTTGACTGAGGTTTTCACCTTTATTTAACATAATATCAATACCATCGGCAAGAAGCTGAGCAGTGAGCAATTTTATAACAATTGGTCTCTGTGGACTGTTGAAGAATGCATTAAATTTTACATTATTTTAATTGTTTTGATTTTGTTGCTAGTGACTAGGAAGTAGAACAAAATGTTTCTTGTAGCCATAAGAATTTTTTTTAATACCTCAGGTTCGCACAGCTCCTTGGAACACTACAAGAGCTTTCATTGCTGCCATGAAGGGCAAGTGTCTACTGGAGGTAACTGGGGTGGCAGATCCCACAGGATGTGGTGAAGGATTCTCCTATGTGAAGATTCCAAACAAACCAACACAACAAAAGGTAAAACTATCTGTTAATTTCTAAAAAGAGAAAATAAATGAAGGGGGAAATAGGGATAGGGAAGACTAGAGAACCCAAAATGAAGGATGACTTAAGTGATCACTATAAAGAGTTCAGCTTACTAAGATTCTCTCATGTTTTTGTTTGAGGTAGGATGATAAGGAGCCTCAACCAGTGAAGAAAACAGTGACAGGAACAGATGCAGACCTCCGTCGCCTTTCTCTGAAAAATGCCAAGCAACTTCTACGTAAATTTGGTGTGCCCGAGGAAGAGGTGGGTTTGGAAGGGGAAAATTTGGAGGCTCCTAGAGGCTTTGTATATAGAGAAGAAGATTCTAAGAGACAGATATAAGAGATCATTTGAAGAACTTTGTGGGTTAGGTTATAGTAAACTGGGTTTTGGGTACTTTTACAGGAATTTACTTTCTATTAAACTTAAGTTTTGGGGGTTTTTTTTTGGCTATTTGTTTTGTTTAGGGTGTGTGTGTGTGTGTGTGTAGTTGTCTAACCTTGTGTTTCAATTTATCTCTCAGAATCCTTGAGTGACTTGTGAATGTTTGTGTTTCTGTATCGTAGATTAAAAAATTGTCCCGCTGGGAAGTAATCGATGTGGTGCGCACAATGTCAACCGAACAGGCCCGCTCTGGAGAGGGGCCCATGAGCAAATTTGCCCGAGGATCAAGGTTTTCTGTGGCTGAACATCAAGAACGTTACAAAGAGGAATGTCAGCGCATCTTTGACCTGCAGAACAAGTATGTTGTTTTAGTGCTTCGAAAATCCAAGCATAAAAGAAAAGGGGTCCCACTCTTTTTTTTTCAGATTATTCTTTTTTTTCTTTTAACATTTTATTAGGGGCTCATACAACTGTTATCGCCATCCATACACACATCAATTGTGTAAAGCGCATTTGTACATCATTCTCAAAACATTTTCTCTCCACTCAAACTTTAAAATGTTATTTGGTGAGTGGATATCTAAGATTTCAGGGTAATATCTGTTTATAATATTACTACTAGAATACCTAGAAAGTTCAAAGCAACTTTGCAAAGGTTTTGAAAGGTTAAAAGCACCCAGGCCTAGGGTCCATGGCAACTCTGTGACCAGCAAAAACACTAGTGACAGATAAGGTTATTCTGATAGTTTAGTGATGGGAGGATAATAATGCACTATTAAAAATGAACTGTTTAAGAACAAAAAATCAAATAATTGTGAATGAGGGGGGTAGTGCAGATTGGGGACCTAACACCTATCTATAGGCATCTGGACATCCCCTTACAGAAGGGTTGCCGGGAGGAGACGAGCCAGTCGGTGCAGTGTAGCAACGATGAAACATACAACTTTCCTCTAGTTCGTAAGTGCCTACCCCTCACTACCCCCCACTATCATGATCCCAATTCTACCTTAGAAATCTGACTAGACTAGAGGGTGTACACTGGTAAAGATAGGAACTGGAAACACAGGGATTATCTCTTCAGGACCAGTGCTGAGAGGCAATACCGGGAGGAGGGGAGGGAGGGTGGGGTGGAAAGGGGGAACAGATTACAAGGATCTACATATAACCTCCTCCTTGGGGGGTGTACAACAGAAAAGTGGGTGAAGGGAGATGTTGGGTGGTGTAAGATGTGACAAAATAATAATAATTTGTAAATTATCAAGGGTTCATGAGGGAGGGGAAGCGGGGAGGGAGGGGAAAATGAGCTGATACCAATGGTTCAGGCAGAAAGCAAATGTTTTGAGAATGATGATGGCAACAAATTTACAAATGTGCATGACACGATGGATGGATGGATTGTGTTAAGAGTTGTACGAAACCCCAATAAAATGTTATAAATAAATAAATAAAAATAAACCGTGTTCTAATCTGTTGCTTAGGTGTTCTCTAGGAATTATTAAAATAGTTGCTGTGGTTTTCCACCCTTGACTAAACATCTAGAAGAAATTTATAAAGCTTTTCTGTTAGGGCTCCATGTCTTTCTGGATATTCATTTTAAAAATATATTGAAATGAAATTCATATAACAAAATTAACTATTAGAACAATAGTATTTGGTACAGTCACAGTGTTGTGCAATAATGCCATCGAATTCCAAAACAGTTTCACCCTCCAAAGTTAAATGGGTATTTCTCTTAAAAATTGTTTCCCAATCTCTCACTCAAGCCTAAAACTGTGTCGATTCAGCTTGTTCTATACTTTAAAAGCATTACAGTCTCAGAAACTCACAGGGGCATTTCTGTCCTATCCTATAGGGTAACTATGAGTCAGCATCGACTTGATGGCAGTAAGTTTTATACTTTAAAAAATTTACCCTGTTTTTTATTTGACGTGTGTCTTTCTCTTTAGGGTTTTGTCATCAACTGAAGTCTTATCAACTGACACAGACAGCAGCTCAGCTGAAGATAGTGACTTTGAAGAAATGGGAAAGAACATCGAGAACATGTTGCAGAACAAGAAAACCAGCTCTCAGCTATCACGTGAACGGGAAGAACAGGAGAGGAAAGAGCTACAGCGGATGCTACTGGGTGAGAGGTTAGGGTTTGGCAGATATATTAGAAAGATAAGGTTTAAAAAGAAATGTGAAAATAAATACTACTCAGGCAAAGTGGTGAGAGAGGATGGCAGAGAATGAGTAAAGAGAATCCTGTTGAAGAGGTAGAGAGATTTTTGCAGAGCTATTAATGTTGTACTTCTGGTAAGCGTTATAATCATTTGTCTACAGTTTGAAAGTTTTGAATGTGGAATTTATGAATTAATTTGGGGAGTGACGTTAAAACCCTGAATTAATGTAAAATTCTGTGCAAATGTATTTTTTCTGGAGGAAAGAATCATAGCTTCCAAATTACCAACCAGAAACTGGAGAAGATAAGAGGTAGAGATGATGATAGAATCATACACTGAGCTAGGATATGGACAGTAAGAAGAGGGAGAATAACGAAAATCAAAGTGGAGTTAAAGATTTCACTTTGAAGGAAAAAAAATATTTCACTTTGAGTTTACTAGAAGTAGGACAACATTAAAGTGAAAGATTTTATAGAAAGAAGCAGGTTTAGGAAAGGAAGGTGTAAGGTCCTTAGAACTAGGAAAAGTCAAAAAATATTACTACACCCGTCATTAAACAACATCAAAATGTGAGGCTATTTTTCCTTTATATATCTTCCGCTTAAGTCTCTACACCCCTGAAGGAAGTGTTTCTATATCTTATTTTTCCCTGAAGAATTCTTCCCTCTTTGATTTACACCTAGTCAAAATGACAGTTTTGGCATCCTCAAAGGACACAATTTATATTCCTTTTCATTGTTCTTTGAGTTTGGGTAACAGGCATGAAGGGAGCAGATCAGAACTGTGGGGGGTAGATAGGGTAAGGTTTTCCAACAAAAGTTTTATATGATAGCCTTTGCCACCCTCAAATAATGAATGAGTATTGTCTCCATGGGGAAAAATAGGTATCAGTGGAACTTTGTCTGTTTTTTGTCTCACCATTGAGTTCTCAGGGGTTTTAAAAATAGTTTTATTGAGATGTAATTAGCATATCATAATTCAATAGTTTGGTCATATTAAGGGTTGTACATTTATCACCACAATCAACTTTTGAACATTTTCTTTCTTCTTGTACCCATTACTATTGACTCCCCGTTTTCCACCAACCATCTCTTCCATGCCCCCGGGTAATAATTGAACTAGTTACTGTCTATAGATCCGCTCATCCTGACATCCGTATACAGGAAAACTTTTTTTTTTTAATAACCAAATAAAGCAGAGAAAACCTTCAATTGAAAAGAAAATTGAACATCTTTAAAAACTAGAGTAAATTCAAAATGAGCCCAAAGGGAGATCAAGTGACAAGATTATACATGATAGCCTAACTACAGCTGCTAAAATTCGCCTTACAGTGCTCTGTCTGACATTAAAGTTATTCACATTAGTAGACTATGATCAGTGGGGATTCACCAGAGACTCAATCCATTTAGGGAACCCTGCAAATGGATTAAGGGTTTCCCCTTTCATCCATAGCATTCTGCAAACTGGGGGTTTAAAATTTAGGCTCAGGATTAAAATTCCCTCCTCTGGATATGGATTTTTATTAATTTGCAATCAATCACATAGGCTGGTGTGCTACTTCTGTGTGGACTTAACTGGTTTTGAGGCAATCCTTTAAGACCCCAGGCGCTATTTTTTCTGGTAGCCGGACATAATCTGATTTCTTCAGACTTTGCTATAGCACCCATATCTTCAGCGATCCGCCTCATGAGTGCAGATACTGAGCTAGGTACTTGCACTCATACTCATTCATACTATAGAACTAATTGTTCCATTGACTTTATTAAGAAGTACTTTGGTGTGGAACACCCAAAGGCCCTCTGATAATCCAAGGCCCATGTAGAATGAAGAAAGGTTTTTGTTCCTTTAATGGCAAACTTTCCATTATTGGCTGGCTTTCCAGTTGACTGACTTTCTGTAACTTACCTCTTTGCAGGTATGGGTGTGCCTGCATTCCAAAGTTCCTGCTGTGTCCTATCCAGACCCCAAACCAAGAGTCAATTGAGCCATTGTAAGGGTAGTGTGAACATCCTGTCTCACCACCACCACCCCTCCAACACACACACACACCCTTTTACTATTTCTTTTCTATTGTTCAGGAAATATACCTTAATGTGCTTCCACCTCCCTTTTATATTAGGATTACTTACCCTCTTTTTGTCTAGTAACAAGATTAAGATACAGATTCAAATTGTTATTGTCAGTCATAGCTTTCCATCTCCCTAAGGGTTGTTAAAACTGTTTTGTAAAAATGTTATGGTCAATCCTTCCACCAATGTTCCAAGAGTCATCTTGTACCTGTATCAGTATATATAATCACATGGGAGTTACTAGAAATGTGGAATCTTGGAACTCACCCCAAACCTATCAAATTAGATTCTACATTTTAATAAGATCCTTAGGTGATTCCTATTCATATTAAAGTTAGTCTAGTCTAGGCCTTAGACTCCTAACTTGTTTATTTCTTCTCCCCAGGACCTGGGTTCTCGGGTGCTTTTCTTTATGGCATCAACTACTATTTTATGCTTGGACTTTTCTTGTGACCGTTGGCCAGGGAAATCCAGTACAGCCACTACTCTGCTGTCCATTATAACAAACATTAGTTTTTTTTTTAAGGTTCTTTTCATAATTTTTTGTATTTGTGAGTCAAGGGTCAAGGGGTCTTAGCTGACCTCTTCTGGGCAGGTGTCAGACATGCCTCCACCTTCTGTCTTTCTTTACCCTGTTTTGACACGAACTGTTCTTCCCGAGTCTACTTTTCTGCTAGGTTCAGTAATTCATTGCAGTGACCACACAGACCTCAACAGACAAAACTCACAATTAAGGAGTTTATTAGGGACCTGAACAAGTTACCACAAATCACGGTCAATAAATGGTAAGGTTACAATTGGTCCACATTAGCGCCTTTCTTAAGCTAGGAGCCAAGTCTTTTCTCTGGTTGTCAACCTCTCAACAACATGGTCCATTGGCTTCTGCCTCTGAGCAAGGAAGTCACCCTCTTACTCTGTCCCACGGTTTCATAGTCTTGGCACTGCTCCTCTGTTCTGTCTCATGATCCTCTTGCCTTGGCCTTTGTTGTCAGCCTAACTCCTTCACTGCACCCTCTGGTCCCTCTCATCTTGGCCTCTCTTGCTGCTGACAGATTTCTAATGTGCTTCACTGATGACCCCCCCCTTCTGGTGGTCCTGGGATTTCTCTTTATTCCTACTAACGCCGCTTGTCCTTTATAGCCAGGGAAGTGGCAGCAAAATCTGACCAATCCCCTTTAGTAGTCATATGTATAACCTATTAGTATAGACTCACCCAATCATTTAGTTGGAGTTACAGACTAGAAGAGTCATATTAAGAAATTTCATTGGGAGAGATGGGAGAAATGGGGAACCAACTATAATTGACTTATAACCACCTCCCTTTCTCAAGGGGGACAAACAACAGAAACGTGGCCGAAGGGAGACAAGTGGAAGGTATAAGATATGAAAATAATAAAAATGTATCATTTATCAGGGGTCCACAAGGGTGGGAGGGTAGGGAAAGGAGGGAAAAAGAGGAGCTGATACCAAAGGCTCAAGCAGAAAGAAAATTGTTTTGAAAATGATGATGGCAACATGTACAAATGTATTTAATACAGTGGATGTTTGGATTTTTATAAGAGCTGTTAAGAGCCCCAAGTAAAGTGATTTATTAATAATAATGAAAAGAAAGGAAATTCCACGTAAAAAAAGCAGGAAAATGAGCATTGAAACTTAAGGTTTAAAAGGACAACTCAATGTACTATTGAGGCTCATGTTTTCTATAGACCCATTGTCTTATGGCATAGTGAACTTTGAGGTCTCCACTCAACTCCAAGAAAATGGTCGTTTGCATTGGGCCTCCACTCAAGTACTCCTCAATGCAAGAATACTTTCTTCTATTAAATTGGCATTCTGTGGTGCTCACCTTCCCGACACAACGACACAACTGCTGAAGACA